CGAGCGCCGTGTGTGGGCAAACCTCTCGCTGCAATACTAACGAGACTAAACATGGAACTTCCAGTATGGATCGCCCCTTTTCCCTAGATGATCTCGTCTCTCTCCAGAACGAACCGCTTCCAGCTTCTGAAGCCCGCCTCGCGCACTTGTGGATCCTCGAGGCTGAAAAGGAGTCAGCCCGCGTGGAGGAGGAAATAGAAACACTCGAACTCCGCCGCCAAAACCTCCAATCCCGTCGTCTGGACCTGCAACGGTCGCTGCAGATATATCGACGCGCTGTGGCTCCGCACAAATCTCTTCCTGCGGAGATCCTTTGCGAAATATTCAAATCTTCTGGAGGTCCCTCCAACTTGAACGAAATAACCCTCCCGCCTTCCAATAACGTACCCCTCGCTCTTTGTGGGGTTTGCTCGCGTTGGCGCGCAGTTGCCCTCGCCACCCACGAGCTCTGGAGCGATGTGCGAGTCAACTTCCGCCAGGAGATCTGGATGGATGCACCAGTCAACCCTCGGGTCCGGAGGGCTGCACACCTGCTGACTGGCCTCGACTTGTGGCTTTCCCGCACCGGTACTCATCCAGTGACGTTGCATATCGCTAGTGCTAACAGTTTGGAGCTCCGTCGGAGTCCAGAGTATGTCCGCATTGACGAACTCATGGTTGAGTATTCGGGCCGATTTCGTTCTTTATCGGTACTCGCGCTCCCTCTTCAGAGCACCCTTTTCACCATACCGCCGCGGGTTTCGAGCAATTGGAAACCCTCGACCTCGAACTCACACATTCCGACCGCGATGGCACAGCCGTACCTCCGTTCTTTGCTGATGTTGTTGCCCCAAAGCTGCGCTCACTCATTTTGGGCGGACCGAACGACCAGATTAGTCTTCCCCAGCTCCATTTCCCGTGGAGTACTCTCACCTGTCTCGACCTCGTTTCGCGGCTGGGCCCCATCTCGGATTACTACTTATTGCTCGAAGAATGCAAATCCCTGATCACCGCGTCCCTTGTCCTCTGGGAAACTGACGAAGATATACATCCTGCGAATCGGGACATCTTCCTTCCTTCCCTCCGGGAATTGCACGTCAAGACCCAATTCTTCAGGGAGACCGTCGACTTCTTGCAAAGAATCGTTCTTGATTCTCTCACCGATCTCGAGATCGTGACTTACAGCGATTCCGACAACTCCGTGACGTCCGTTCGCCCATTCCCATCCCTCCTCCGCCTACATTTTCACTCCGATGAGTCCCCCCCCGGCAACATCTCAGCCACCGAATTTTCCTTGCTGCTCCGCGCATGTCCAGCGGCCGTAGCGGTTGCGGTCGAGGTCACCCCATCAGAGGCCACCCTCGACCAGATTGCGAACGGAACGCTTGTTCCGAAGGTCGAGAAACTCGTGCTTTACGCGGCGGATCCCGCCGTCCTTCTCCGGCTCCTGAAAACGCGCCGAGACAGTGCTGTGCATTCAACGATCGCATGGGCCAATGTGCAGCCACTGCGAATGCCTAGCGCCGGCGAAGTGAGTTCATTTAGAGACCTGTTCGATGCGGGCGTATTCGTCAGCACGGACGGTAAAGAAGTGGATACCGAGAAGGCTCGGCTTTTCATCTGGTACAATCAGCACCATATTGACCATCCCTCCAGATAGAAGAGTGTGCGCGAGTAGACCGGGAAACCTGGAACGGTTATTACAACTGAACTGAAACGTCCGTTAGCACGCGCTTTCGGGAAGTTGAACTCCATATGGTGCGTCGTTGCAAACCGTGAACTTGACGCCATATTGACCATCCGGCAAGATCGAAAATACTGCACGAACACTATCGCGAAGAGCGAGGTATATTATATCGACTTGTCGGATTGACTTGCACACATTCTGCCGCTACATTGTCCTTTCTGAACTCTGAGACAATGCGCACGACCAGGACCGATGTTGCGAATTTAAACTTGTTCTACTCTGGTCCACAAGATGCTTTCCGCCGATTCGCGCTGAGACAATCTCCCAGCGCCGGCGCGGCCTGCCTGAGCTCTCGGCGGATTCGACTTCCTGTGAGGTACTTTCCTTCTGCTGTGCGCACCCGCGAATGAGATCTCGTTCAAAACACATGGCATATTCTCAACATTGTTACAATCAGATTCATTCTCTGACATCCAAAAACTTATTCCACAGTGTATCGCATGGACCGTCCTGTGGGCACACCGTATTAGTACCAAACGAAGTAGGGTATGTGGTTGCTCATACCAATGAGTTACTCCCAGCCGCCTGCACGACATTCGAGAGTGCGACGTTCCCGCTGTATGCCAGCTTCGCCAAGGTATTCGTCGATGTTCCGGGGACGTATCTGGGCCAGTTCGGTGCAGGTGGCGAGGTGGGGTCTTTGATAAAGTTCCCGTAAACCGTCTCCATCGTCGACGCAAGAGTTGCCTCGGCCGCCGTCGCCCCCGTGCGGTTGTAGGTTCCGAATATCTCGAAGACTGGGAGAGTCGAGTCAATATACGGCTTGGGACTAGGAAGTTGGAGACTCACGATCAGAGGAGTGCCAGGCGCCGGCGTTGGGGAAAGATTGCATATTGGGGAAGACGGCGCCTACGATGGTGAACGCAGAGCCAAAGCGCGGAGAGAAGGTGCATACCGTATGCATACCGGTACACGTTCGCCTGGCCTGCGCCAACGGCGGCGGCACCCCACAACTCCGCCGGACTTCGGAGCGAATATTGGGAAAGCACCAAAATACAGCGAAGAACTCACCAAAGGAACAAGAAATCCTTGACCACCTCGGAAATTACCAGGTTGTCACTCAGGCCGCTGGGGTAGAGGGCGCGGACTTGAGCCGGAGTTACGAGGCTGCCGAAATTGGTTGCAAGGTAGGTGGCGAGGTTGTTCTGATTGAGCGCGAAGAGACTGCCGTCGTCTTGAGTGTGCCCAATCATAAAGGGCACTCCAGAGGAGAGTTTATTGCGGATGCGTTGGAGGGGGTCGGTGAACAAGGTCACGCTGCTCAGTTCAATGTCAGTATAATTTAAGCAAATGCCACGACGCACCCGTCAACCGAGGCTGTCCAGGTACCGCTGGATGCGCTGTTGGTGTAGGCGCGGATGGTGGCGGCAGGAACCTTCTTGAGGCATGCCAGTCGTGTCGCGCCGGCGGCTTGGGTGCATCCGACCGCTGACGCCATGGCGTTGAACGCAGCAAAGGAGGGGGTCGGAGACGTGGACTCTACTGCCCCGGAAATCATTATCCCTGCACGGAAGGGCGCGGTTCCCGGGCTGTGCCTGATAACGGCGGCAGCTACGGACTCAGCGCCTGCAGATTGGCCCTGAGGAACGTTTAAACGAATCAAGGTGAGGAGGTTTGGCCTGAGACACACCATAATTGTAACTTGCTTCGGATCACCGCCAAAGTTCGCAATATTCTGTTGAACCCACAAAAACGCAAGTTCTAAGGTACGGTAAGCGTCGAGAGTTACATCCGCTCGAGTCGAACTCACCTTGATCGAGGAACCCGAGATTATTTCCAGTGGTAGGCAGATCGGGACTAGTTGGGAAACCGAAGACGTTGGTTCGATAGTTAAAGGACACTATGGTGATATTCTGGCTCGCAGCGAGCGAGGCGCCGTCATATTCTGGCACGGAGGCCGTGCCAAAGGCCAGTGCTCTGCGAAATTGAGACTCGTTCAATGCCGGGTTTAATGACTCACCCGCCGTAAATCCAGATAACTACTGGGGTTGGACGAGCCGTCGTCGGGGCCCACACGTTGCTGCGAGGTAAGAAATCAGGTAGGGGGCAAGGTTGTCGAACACCTACAGGAACAAGCAATCCTCGCTCTCCGGAACCGGGGGCGTGTTGAATAGCTTTTCGTTGATTGCGGCGACTGCGAATGGGAATTGTTGAACGCATGCCGGGGCGAGACTGGTTGCATTCTGGGTTGCAGTCGAGGTGAACGCGACCGGTGGGGCCCAGCGCAGTAAGCCGGTGGGTGATTGTCCGAATCGCTGTGGGGTGGTCAACCAGTGCCAAGTTTAGAGAGATGCTACGCACGACGCCCTTGAAAATCGAGACTGCGAAGAGTATTTAGCATTGGGGTGGAAACGAGTCAAGCACGCTCACGTCCGTCGACCAGGGAACCTTGAATCAGGCCAGAGGTTGTCTGAACCGAAACCGAGGCGGCTGAACACAGTGAGGCTAAACTCAGAATGAGGGCGGAACGCATCGTGGTGACGAAGCTCGTCAGGTTTCTGAGCCTTTAAATGAGCTCAAGACCTTCGCTTGGAGTTGTGTGGGAGCGTAAAGGCGCAGTTGGGCCACGTGAGGGAACTGCTGACGCACGGGGATCCGTGGCCGGAATCACCGTGGGTGTAATGCTGATCATCTGGAGGCCTTAGTGTTCTTCTACGAGACGACTATGACCCACCCTCGGTTTAGAAGCGGTTTGCGCGTGGCCAAGTCAACCCCATGGTCGCGGTCTCATTTTCATGCGTTCGCGTCGAGTCAATGTGTCCCGGGCTTGAATGCCCTCGAGTCGAAAAAGAAGGATAGAGCTCACGGCGTCGATTCGAATGTGGTCACCAGTTCAATTGTCTGAATACTCACCTTGAGTCGACAAAAATCGAACCTCCAGACAATACACGACCTAGCCTCGATTCGAACGAGGCACCGCGGCTTTGCGACAACTCTGAATTTATTTCGGGTTCCCATGGACTTCTAGGTCTGGTGTTTCAATGGCATTGGAAACATGCTAGTAAATTCTGATCGTCAAAAATAATAGACGGAACAGTTACCTCGATTCGAATGCGAGTGATTCTTGGAGGTCAGGCGGTATAATTGAACCTGCTTGCGGATTCTGTACCAGGGAATGGGCTGGGCCGTGAGAAGAAAGACGTGTTTCCGCGCTCCAGGTCTTCGGTAAGTCTCGGAAGTCGATAACAATGGTACAGATGGCGCCGAATGTTGCTCCGAGGTTGTCCGCCGACTGCACCGTGGTGGTGGCACAACGTAAAGCAGCTACGTCAGCGGTGCCGTAGCTCAGTGGCTTAGAGCGTACGATTGCAACGCAGTTCAAAGATCGTAAGGTCCCGTGTTCGAACCACGGTGGCACCTCTTTTGCTGCGTTCGCCTTCCTGTTGAGATGTTTTGATCGGCCTCATCAACGAGGATGTGTCCATAGTCGGCTCGCTACCCCGATGCGAATGCCACCGCGCCCCCAGCATTCCTGTAGGCGAGGGCGCACGCCACCGAGGAGCACAGGGGCGATTGGCCTAAGATTGGCCTAAGCTATGTCAAACCAAATAATCCTACAATTGTGACACTCGCCCGCTGTCGTGTTCAGTCTGCTCAAAATTACTTCTCCCTTGACATCCGCCGTCAGCAAACTCACCAGTTCCTCTACTCTTTGATGTTTGAAGTTCAAGTTTAAGCCTTTCAATTTGGGCTTTGCAACTCGAAGGCTCGCCTCAACTTGTTCAAGTTGTTGGATTTTGCAAAGCATGATTCGGGTCAGATATTTCTGGCCCGTTTTGCGTCGGTTATATGCAGTCTACCGGCGCCCTCGTATCTCTCTCCTGCGATGCGGGGTTCTCCCTCTGCTCAAAAACCGATCGAACCTGTCCTGCGGTCACAATTGCCGTGTTCAAACCACGGTTTTCTCGAGTGTCAATTTATTACTTCTGCTAAATTCCGCATGTTTCCCTCCAATATTCCGCCCCCGCTCTACGTCCTTTCGGAATATATTTTGGATTTCTTGGGCATATTCCTTGTGGGACGATCAACAGCAGTCCATCAACATCATTACGGCACAACGCCTTGCCTCTAACGCTCACCTTGTCCCAGGCGCGCTCACATCTATGGCCTTCGCCTCAAACTCTTCGTCACACGAACTGACCCGCGTCAAGGACCTCTGGTTCTCCGATGGCAGCCTCGTCGTCCGGGCTGAAAACGCAATATTCCGTGTTTCTGGCGCAGTTCTGGCTGCGCGCTCCTCGGTGTTTCAAGACATGCTTGCCTTTCCCCAGTCTGATTCTTCCTCTGATCTCGAGTCCTTGGATGGAGTCCCTCTGGTTGAGCTTCATGACTTGGCAGTCGAGGTGGAACCTTTCCTCCGGGCGGTTTTCGACTCCAGGTGAGCAGTACGCAGCATACCTCTCTCTACGACGGACTCAAGTCTTCATGTGGAAGTTTCTTCATGCCCGCACCATCGAGTAACTCGCTACTCGACATCTTGGCCATCCTACGCCTCAGTCACAAATACGACATCCAATACTTGCATCGCCGTGCGCTGGATCACCTCTCCCAAATATGCCCGACCGAACTCCCAGTGTTCCTAAAACACCTGAACAACTTCCCCACCAACTTTGACCTCCTCAAAACCTCCGCCGACGCGCACCTCGACATCCTCCGCGTCATCCACGAGGTGAACGCCCTCTGGCTGCTCCCCGCCGCCTACTCGCACGCCTCCAAATGCCTCCCAGAGCGCCTCTTCGCGGCCCCCAACTGGCTGCGCCTCCCCGAGGCGCTGAAGGCCAAGCTGCACATCACACACGCCCATCAGACACGACACACGATCGCGATCGTCCACGCCGTCGGGGGCACGTACGACCGCGCCGCCTGCACCGCGCCCGAGACCTGCCCGGAGCAGATCCTCACCGTCGTCACCACGCTCCTCGAGCAGGTCGCTCAGGTGGGGATGGAGTTCAACTTTTTCGACGTGAAGGATATATTCCTGCCGAATATGTTGTCGGATTTGGGGCTGCCGATGTGTGCTGCGTGTCTGGCGCATCGGGCGGAGCAGGTTTTGCTTAGTATGCAGAGGGTGTGGGATGGGCTGCCGGGGAATCTTGGTCTCCCGCCGTGGGACGAGTTGCGGACGATGAAAGAGGCTGCGATGGCTTGAGCACAAAACGGGGTATTGTTAGTACGTTCCTTCTGATTTAAACCTCGGGGCACCGTGGCTAACTCTGGGCCTCGGTCCAGACTTGAGCTGGGGACTGTGGTGGATTTATCCGCTAATGCTGCGTCCGCTATCTCTACTTTGAACGGTCTTCCTTGACTTCGCGCTCGACGCAAAGCTCAAAATTCAGTTGCCCGCGGTGAGTTCATTCTACGCCTTCAAGCCCGCCGTTCGATCTTTCAGGCAAGCAATTTAGTTCTCCGACTCAGTGAATCTTCATGCCGCTAGAATGGTCAGCGTCGACTTCGAGACGCCGTCAAGCACGTCCGCCCCGAGGAACTTGGTTCACTGTGGCCAATGTCAGTAGAATCATCAAATCGACGGCGTCTGCCGAATCTCTTTGAAACCAATCGAGTGTTTGGAGTAAGCAACTGTCCGAAATTAGCTTTATCCACGTGCTTTCATACCCACCGCCCTGCTTATTCACCGTCGGACGGCGCATCAGACGGTCAGCCCCGATTCCCACGGTTGGCCGAGTTCCGCCTGTGTACTCCGCCTGTGTACTCCACCACTTGGCACACATGCGAGGAAAGTCACCGCCAGAGTTTGCCCTGCTACTCACTGACTCCGATTCCCATGGTTGACCGAGTTCCGCCAACAACCCACGTGGCGTTAAATATTCAGTAGACCACAACCCGAGCTTGCTCGTCGCTGCGTAGCTAACTCCTGATCCAGTCACCCAAGCCTTCGTCTTCCCGGCGGCGCTCAGTTGACCACAAAAGGCCGTGGAGCCACGACAGAAGGCACGTCAGAAATTGCGTGCACGGCCGATTGAAAACCCGGGCGGCGGGAGCGGCGATACCAATTGAAGTCCGTTCTTAGCAGGTCACACACTACGTCGCAACAAAAATAGATCTTGCCAGATTTCCTGACGTGTCTGCTCCTTTCCTTTCGCGTTTCCCAACCCGAAAATTCAGAACGACGTGTCTTTTCAGCTTGGTAGCCTATTCCAGCTTCGAGACACGGCAAAATATGAGAGTATGAGCTCTGTACCTTGGGTTGAGTGTACGCGAGAGTCAGTTACGTAGGTGTTGCTAAGGGCTCCGTGACAAGTCTGCCACCCGTTGCACCCGAGCAGGGCCTTAATCATCCGATTCAAATCGCCGTGGCATCCGGTTGAGGGATTTTAAAGACCTCGACGCGGGGAATGGATCCCTAGTTCCTGCTCTGTTTCAACTACCCACCCAGCCATATCATCAATTGAACTACCTTCTCAGTTCGTCATGGGGAAAAACGCGGATCTAGTAGACCTCCACGGCAAGATTGTGTTATTGACGGGTGGGAAGTGAGCTCCAATCTATGGTGGCCCAATTTGCAGGAAATAACCCGATCGTAGCACCGGTATTGGGTATGCCACGATCCAGATATTGGCACGCCGAGGAGCAAAGGTACGTTCGTGTCTTTTTTTCATTTTCCTTTGATGTTAATTGCTTGCAGGTGTACATGGCCACCCGCGATGCGACCAAGGCAAAGGCCGCAATGGAGAAGATGGAGGCTGAGGGTCTCGGCGAGGGGAGTGTCCACTTCCTTGAGCTCGACTTGTCAGATCCCCGCGCCGTCTCGCAAGTAGCGAAGAAGTTTCTCAACACCGAGGAACGACTGGACATATTAGGTTCGTCCGAGGACAATGTTATCGGAGACGGGCACTTACCCAGTACATTTGAACAGTAAACAACGCCGCGCTGTGAGTGGACTTTCCTCGGGCTTTGAGGACGTGAATGAAGCTAAAACTGTGTTCAGTGGATTCGGGCCCTACCATCTCACAGATGATGGCCTGCTCAATGTCATGGTTATCAAGTAAGTTAGAGGCGGAATATGAATGTAAGCGACCTCTACTGATGCGCCGCATTCAGCCATGTCAGTCCTTGGATTCTCACGGACACGCTGCTTCCTCTCCTCAAGAAAACCGCGGCAGAGGCAAACTCGGACGTTCGGATTGTCAACGTGCGTCTCCAGGAAAATCGCTGACGACGTTCACCAACACACTGTGTTAGCTTTCATCAATGACGCACGCCCAGGTTAAACCGACGACATTCGCCGGGAAGGAGGCGCTTGCGAAGGACTATGGTCCTTCCGTTATCAAGCAGATAGACACATACGGTACGCTGACCCGTCTACCCTCTCACGACGCACTCGTATTCACTGCCGAATTGCCACCCAGGCTACACCAAGCTCGCCAGCATACTGCACATCAACGCGCTGCAAACGCGGCTCGACACGGAAAAAGTGAACATTACCTGCATGTCCATGCACCCCGGCGTCGTGCACACACAAACCTCGCTCAGAGTCATGAGCTCCATACCGCTCCTCGGCGGGCTCCTGGGGCTCGTCGTACCGCTGCTCTTCAGCACTCCGGAGGCAGGCGGTAGGGCTGTTGCCTTCGCTGCGGCGGCGAGGGACGTCGCGGCGGAACGCACAAGATACAAGGGCGCGTACCTGATGCCCGTCGGCAAGATCACAGCGGCGTCCAAGGCGGCGCAGGAGGCGCAGTTGCAGACGGAGCTGTATGAGACCACGGAGAAGGTCGTGCGCGAGATGGGAATATGATTATTTTTATTGCTATTTGGCGACTGCAGCTTGAGCGTGAGCGACGAGTGATATGCGCGTAATCCTGGAACATCATAACACGCTGGATAGACGATCTGCGAAAGAGCGTTCAGGCACGGACACCCGGGAGGTGAATAACACTGGCCTAGCGCGGTGGGGAATGCCTCGTTGTTCAACATAATCGTCCCCACGAAGTCGAACAGGCCATTCCAGAAAAGGTCTCTCAAGTCGCCCCCAGGATCCTCGATATCCACACATTCGAGCGGTAGCTCGTGCGCATGGGCGGTCCGAAGTAAATCCCGCAGCGCACCGAACCAAAATTCGAGACCCCCCTCGTCGAATCTCTCCATCTCCCAAGGGGTGAGTGAGAGGCGAATGCGTCGTAGATGGGGGTATCCGCCGGTCGATGTCCCACAAAGCTGAGCCAGCGCTTGGAACAGCTCGCCCGCGCCGCGGTTCACACCAGTATGAAGCAGCTCCAGCGCGGGGAGGAGGGGCAGCGCCGCCCGCCAGGAGGTGAGGGACATGAATGCCGCCCGGGCATCGAGATATGTGATCGTCGTGCGGGGAAGGAGTTTGAGGACCTGGGTTGCCACTTGGCGGAGCA